ACATTGAGATATTTGCTGATAATCGGTAACGTAATCTAGCATTTTTTTTGGCAACAACAAAAACAGTTAATTGTTGAGTGATATGGTGTACAATGATTAGCGCAAAAAGTTGGAATTTAATATACTTGATGAGAGAGTATCATTATGACATGAATATTTGCGAAAATATTTTTGGTGATTTACGTAATGATAAATTGTGAGGAGTTGTAACTCTTTAATAATTAATGCATGGAGTATCATGTTCGTATATTTTTAAAGCACTGTTATGATTTTTTTTTTTTAAATATTAGCCAGCTTGTGTGTGACGTGTTTATTGTCGGCTAGCACTGTCGTAGAAAATAGCAAACATGAAGTGATATAGATGTAATGACACTATGTTATCTCCGTGAAAAATAATTTGTTGATTATAGGTCATTAGTTGGTTGGATAATTGTTTGAATGATCCCGGCATATCTTATATATCGACATTATCAAAATAAGAAGAGAGTGGAAACTATGGAATCGTTCAGTAATCACTACAATCTCCAAGCTTCTTCGTTAATTACACGTGTTAGTTTCACGAGTTCATGTTATTCCTAGTTAAAATATATTAACCTCAGTTGAATAATTACATACTTTATGTAAGTCGAGTTTCTTTTTTCTGTGATGTATGTTTAGAAAATTTAATGAAAGTATGTAGTTCACTTTTATTATTTTTTATTCTGTAAAACTGCTGTTTTCTACATAATTTTTTAAAAATTTGTTCTGTATTTTTATGATATTCTTATTTTAGAATTTGTTCATGAAAGTGTTATTAAAAATGCATTGTAGGCACTTTTTTTAATGTTCTCAAAATAATTTGGGCATTTTTAATATATCATTGAAAACTGTTTTGCAAGTAATGAACTAGTTATTCCTTAATTTTGAACTTGTAGGAAGTTTTTTCAATTCAAGGAGTAGCTGCAAAGCGGATTGTAGATGGAGAGGAGACAGAAAATTGTTATATTAGTGGAAAGTTATCGTTAGTGGAAAAAGTTTGTGCATTTTTTTTGAATTATTTCTTCCACTTTGTAATAGGATCATGAATCATTATTTGACAGTTTGATACAGCAAAATTTTTTAAGCCTACTGGTGTGATGGTTGAGTGGGTTCCATTGGAAAAAGATAACTGGGTTCTTACATCTGAAGATGATAATGAAAATCATTCAAAGTTGTCGGATAGCTCTGAATCGAGGCAAGATTTTGCGAACAAATCGAAGTTTTCCGTTGATATCAAAGATTTGCGTTCCTTCCAGTGTGTTGAGCCTAAAAAAGGTATTTTTTTGCATTACTCATCAATATTCTTATTATTTGTAACTCGAAAGTTAGTTCTGATTGTATGGTTTTCTTTATGCAAGTTCAGGGTATTGATTATGTTTGTTGTATACCTTAAAGTTTAAATTTGGTGAAAAATTTACATATTGAGAGGAAATTTTTTTAATATGTTTATAATAATTCATCATCAAAGTGAGCTTTTATGTGAATTTTTAGAAATGTGATTTTGTATTATTAGGAAAACATCAATTTTTTCGAACACGAAAATGAGTTAGTTCTTGTTTTGAAGGATATTGTTGGATACGTTTTATCGGGAAAGATGGTTCTGGCTACACACCACTATATTTTCGACAGGGTGGAATATCATCTTTTACCGATAACTTACAAAGGTAAAATGATTCACCGTTTTCTCTCCGTGTACTAGATTTTAAGTTTTCTATGGCATTTCAGATATGCTACTTTAAAACGTTCAGCTCGAGAATCTAACTTAGTACTTTTCACAGACGAACGTCTTGAAGCTTTAGAACAGTCTGTCTCGATTTTGGATTTGAATAGCGATTTCTTTTCGGTGATTTGATGTTTAAAATAATATTTTGAAATTTTTTGAAAAGTTCCACATTTTTTTAATAGTACGCGTTTAAACCTTGTGGGATTGTGTTGTTGTTTACATGTAAATTCCAGCGTATGATGGCACAACCTTATGCAACAGCAATGACAGGTCTTGGAAAAGTGGCAACATTTGTTCAAGAACAAGTCAGCTATGTTTCTCATTACAATTCATGATTTTTTAATTGTGGGAATTCATTGCTTATCAGTGCCTTCTTAAATAGTTTATTGAAATTCATATGGAGAAGTTATGGACAAGCACATATTTCTATACATAATCGAAATAAATCACATTGTATTTGTAGCTTATGACAAATCCATTATCATTTTCTGCTTTCACTGACAAATCTTCTTACAGGTCATACCGTCTATCTTAGATTCAGATGCAGTAAGTGCAGAAGAAAAAATTAGAGCAATGAGGGAGCTGAGAGAAAAAGAAGAAGAAGCAGCAGGCATCTTAAGGTTTGTATTACAAGCTTTATCTTTTCTGCTGTACCAAACATTTCTTTATTTTACAGATCACATGATGATGCAGGATTTGAACTTATAACTCATTTAGAACTTCCAGAGCGTCCAGAATTTAAGAGGGAACAACCACTTACAGAGGAAATGTGGCAGAAGTATAAGTAGGTGATTTCCGTTTGTCTGTAATTATGCAAGGTAATTTCCGGAATTTGCATCTAGTTTCAGGAATTTAGGATGCCTGATGGTTCGATCATAGATGTTCATCCTTTAAAAATGCTGATCTTTCGTGGAGGTTTAGAACCATCATTAAGAAAAGAAGTGTGGAAATATCTTCTTGATGTATATGACTGGAGAAAGTCAGCTAATGAAAACGATGCAGTAATATTTGTTCGATTATCAATTTGTTTTTACTAGAAAGTTTATAAAATTATTGATATTTTCACGAGGTTTCATTTCGCCATGTGTTATAATTGCAAGATGAATTTAAGATTCGAAAAGCGCATTGTGAGGATTATTATCGTATGAAATTGCAGTGGAAAACCATAAACGAAGATCAAGAAAGTCGATTTAGTGAGTTTGCCGCTCGAAAGGCGTTAATAGGTGTGCGATGCATCAGTAATTCATCTACATTTTTTATAAAACTTTATGTCTACCTTAACTTACTTCCAGAAAAAGATGTATCTAGAACAGATCGAACGCATGCTTTTTTCGGTGGTAACAATAATAGCAATCTTATGCTTCTTAATGACATCTTAATGACGTATTGCATGTATAATTTTGATCTTGGTTCGTTTATATTCTCTCTGTTTTGCTTTTTCTTTAGTCTTGAAAGTTATTCATATTAGATGAAAATTTTTTTCAAAAAAATGTTTTGATGTTTGTGCTTATTTGATACTTTAATATCTGTGTTTTTTTAATTATTAGAACAACTTTTGCATTTAAGGATATGTGCAAGGGATGAGTGACTTCCTCTCTCCATTGCTCGTTGTGCTACAAGATGAAGTTCATGCATTTTGGGCTTTTGTTGGATTGTTAAAAAGAGTGGTAAATTTTCTCTTCGCAGTTTTATGAATATTATCTATTTAAAATTATGGAAATGGAAAACAGTTTTTCTATGCAAACTAAAAAATGCAGTGATTTCTGATTTTCTGATTGAAGAAATGACATACAGAAGACCTCAACATTTTTGTGTAAGTTTCTATTTCCTAAAATAGATTTCTAAGTTGAGTTACAAATTATGAAAGGCAGATTTAACTGTCAACTGCAGATAATGGGAAGAAATTCGTTTTTCTCTTTAGCAAAAAAATTTCGAAATGGACCAGGCTGCCATCAAAAAGCAGTTAATGGATTTGCGTGACCTTCTGATGGTTGTTAATCCCAAGCTAGCAAATTATTTGGGTTCGTCATTAAACTTTCACTCTTTTTAACAATTTTTATTTTCTTTGTTGTCTGTAATAGTTCCACCTTCAGTTTTAAATGTCCTAATTTGCTTGATGTTCATTCTACACCGTTTTTTTTATAGAAAGTCATAATTCCGATGATATGTATTTCTGTTTTCGTTGGGTGCTGGTCGCATTCAAGAGAGAATTTTGTTTCGATGATATTTTACGTTTATGGGAGGTCAGTGCACTTTTTTAACCTTTCATTGAAAGTAGTATCTGGAACAAAATATTAGCTCTCTACTTCCGTAATTCTAGGTTTTGTGGACTGATTTACCATGTTCAAATTTCCATCTTTTGATTTGTGTTGCTATTCTCGATCAGCAAATGAATTTCATAATTGAAAACAAATTTGGTTTAACGGAGATTCTTAAGGTTTATTTAACTTTGGTCTTTATATTTTTTGTTTTTTCAATAATTTGTAGAAATTGTCTTATATAATTTACAAAATTGACTCGTTAAAAAAGTAGTGCACAGAAAAGTATAATACTTCGGTACTCGTTAACTATACATTTCGTTTTCTTCGAACAGTTTTTTAGTGAAGTAGCAAATGATAAACTGCAAAGTTCATAATTCAATTTCCATTTAGAGACTCATTTTATAGTATGTATTCTGATTTGTTCTTTCAAATTCTTTGTAGTCAACCATAATTTACGTTGTTGATATTCTTTAATGTTAGGTACCTCTTGAGTTTCAGCATGTCAATGATCTGTCAATGCATATTGACTTAAACAATGTATTGACATCAGCGGAGGCTATATTTCATCAGCTAGCTGCTAGCCAAGATAAACTTCCGATTCATGTGTGTAAAATTCTATCGTTAGGGGATTCTTCTGGTCCTTGTGAGGAATGAAATTTGATTGCATAACGTATATTCATTAATGTACATATTGTACTTAACGTTATGGAAATGCAGTTTCATTTTAGTCTTAACGTCAAGTAAGTTAGTGTACTATTGCTTAAGATGTACATTCATCTGTTTTTGCTCTCTTTATTCAATCCTCACTACAGATTTCATATAATTGGGCATGCGAGACTATCGGGATGTGATTCATTTACGTAAGACAGTCGCTATAAAAGTCGAATTCTGACATCTAAGAGCACTGCCATTTCGATCCATTACTCATTGCATGATGAATTCAGTAATAATCCAAAGCTAACATGTCATAGAATGCATACTTTCTATAGTGATCCAAATAATTTTAACGGATGTGGCTGAAAACAGCTGCATATCTTTTCCTGCATGTTTCACAGACCTTTCAAAAAGCTATTAAAATCTCCACTGTAAGGGATACTGGGACATAATGGACAGTGAGGAAATTGGCATAATGTCTCAAATCCTGAAAACGGCAATTCTCATTTTCTGTCACTTAGCTTCTTGTACAGTAGTTGGTGTGACTTGCAGTATATTGTATATAAGTTCTTAACTTATTACTCATGCAACTAATCATGTAACTTGACAGTTTACAAACGAAATGTAACAAAGCACACTCATCGCTCTTATTGTATGAAGTTTAGGTATCTGAGAATATCACTATTAAATTTATTCACTTTATTTGCTTACCACCATAAATCTGCCAATCCATCTCTTAACTGAGTATATATACATACAATTACCAACAGATATCATCACCGATTCTTCAACTTTGATTTGCATATCACTTAGGCTGCTCACAAAAAAAATCAGTGATTCATGATTGCTGTGCGGCTATCTAATGTAAAAATAGGGACATGAAGCCATGAATAGTTTTATTATCACTACTATTTTAATCATTGTCAGTAAATAAGGCTAAACAAATAACTGTTATGAAAGTATTACTAGGAAAATTTACTTAAGCAACATAAAAGTCATACAACATATTGAAGTAACGATTTCAGTACTTCTCAGCATATACTCCATCTTATCAAAACACTTACTGCGCACAGAATTAATTATTAAAAGAAGAAACAGACAGTGAAACAAGACACATTGTATGAGTGTTTTATCAAGCTTAAATCAAGTAATAACATACTTGTTGATAATAGACTTCAGACAACCTCAATGATTCCTAATGTGAAATTTTTAGTCTCATATGAATAATTTTTAAGGGAAGAAAGTATCGTAAGCAAATGTACAAGATGGAATATTCTGCTGAAAGAGCGTGCCTGCACATAAATTACTGCCTATTTATTCAACTTGACTGCACAAATATGAGTAAAACATATGACGGATAAATTCACTTCAGCACTTCTAAGGCCGAAGGTCAGGCAGTTCCTTCTGCTCGATCAGTTAGCTTCGGCAAGCTTAAGCACAAATGAATTTCACTGCCAATAACAAAGTGGTGCAAAACGTAGAAACTGGGAAAAACTCATGCAGTACTACATTTAGTGCATAATTTTTATCAGAAATATAATACAAATTTCACGTTTTTTGGCGTCACTTGAAGTTTCATTATTGCTTTTGTCACTGATAAGCCAATTAATTTGTACATTATCCACCTGAAATTCACTTTTCACCATGCCTACTTATCACAAAGCATACTGATATAATATAAGGCAAAATATTTAGTCAAATCTATTTTCGTCAGTACAAGCTAAAAGTGCAAAACTGATTTAATTATTACAGACAGTAGTTCGACAGTGTGCTTCCTTAAACGAACATTTATGCTAATTGCGATTTATTTAAGTTAAAAATGAACGTTGAATGCGCGGAATAGCAATTAATATGTTAGAGTATGCGTACTAAAAACAATGGTTATTTGAGAAGATAAAATCAAACTCACAGTAGGATATTCTTTCAGTATATTAACTCCTTGCTGGTAGTAATAAGTGACACCTTGTTGTAGGGGACACGTCAGGTTGCCTCCCTTGCATGGATCATTTTCTTCCAGATTGAATGGAATGATCACGTTACCAGCAAGTTTTGCTCGCACAGATGTTTGCAAATTTTTTGTTACCTTTGCTAAAATTGCGCATTTAATTCAGTTTCATGTAGTAAATTCCGATAAATGTTAAGTTACTATCACTGAATGCGAATTCCCACACCATATTGCTTCTTCAGCTCAATGCCTTTATTTTTCACTGTTGGTGTCATATTTAAGTTGTCATCTAAAAGTCAACACAAACTAAAAGAATCATGATTATTCTGGTAGAGTTCAAGGGTCTTACTTTTTAACGAACATAAACAATTTGGTAATATTTTGGTTTTTCATCTACAATTTGCAAATTTATTTTTGCGATTCTTTACGCTGTGAGCTCGGTTTTTCGTCATTGTGTGAAGCCTTGTAGCTATTACAGGTAAACTCAGTTAACTGATTGAATTTGAGTTAAATCAGTCCATAGCTGTCATCTGATAGTTCTCGCTATGAGAATGTTGTTGTAATTTGATAAAATAAGAAAACACACTTGGCACAAATTTGATACGTAGCTGAGGCGTTGTGCCCGTTTTAAAAGCACATAAGCGTTGAGCGTTGCCCACGCATCCATCTATCTCAACATTCATGATATCGAATACCGATCCTCAATACTTTAATCATTTAGTTTTACAGACTAGTAGCATTAGCTGTGCATACATTCAGACTAAAGCATTTCAAGATCAATCAACGTTACCATACAAGCTGACACAAATCCACAAGTTCTTCGCATTCTTAGAGAAAAAATTACTAGCAGTTAAATCGAATCACAGCAGCTTGAAATTGCAAGTGAAAAGCATAAAAGTAGATGAATGTATCAGATGAAAGCTTACTGCAATTTCTGTACTGAATTGTTTGAAATTTCGCGCTTACAGGAAGAACGAATAGCAGCAACAAAATATTGCACTTGAATATCCCTTTGATCATCCTGGAAAAGTAGAGCGAAATTCATACTTTCCGTCAGTTATCATACAATCGTTACGAATCTTTCTCATTGCATAAACAAGAAGAATAAACGAATAATTAATACATATCCATAAGAAGACTTGGTCAATCACGGATAGTGCTGCGTTAGCGTGTGGAGATTTGAGTAGGGAAGAACTATGAAGCCATCAAATATGGTCTTGCTCTGTGAAAATGTAGTTTTAATTCTGAATACTAGAAAACAAAGAAAGAAGTTACAATATTTAAACTACTCACGAGCTGAATCATTTCTCAAACTATATAATCACATGCTGTAACAAATGCCGCCTATTATGGCAACTTACCGTACTGTACCACATTGCTGTACGTAAGAAGTGAATAATTAAGAAGAAGTTCATTACAAGCTTTCCCATAGTGAACAATTTTTCACGGCGAATACTTCTAGCACCAACTATATTTACCCTTTGTAACAATGATTAGCTAAGGAAAATTTGCTCCAACATTACACAAGCACACATACACACACACACACACACCACACACCACACACACCACACACACACACACACACACACACACTTACACATACACTCAAATACACAAACATACTCAAGCATACACACGTACGCATCCCACCTTATCAGTCTGATGAGAGCAAGATTTTGTTTCTTGGTTTCAGCTTCTGAAACCTTGTTTGATTCAACCGCAGAAATGAAATTTTTTGTTCGCTCGCAGTGCTAACAATTTATTGAAAAACAAAATCACAACAAAATTTTACTACCATTAATGATCAATGAATATAATATTAGTATGCAGTAAGGTGCTTCTGACAATATTACTGTCCGATTCATTTTCGATACATTTCAGTCAATCAAAAAATTGTTTAAAATTACCACTCACTCACACCATAAATTTTGCCATCATTATGATTAATTACAATAAATACAACGAAAACGGATGGGTGAATTTAGGGCAAATGAATAATGCTTGTACATTTATTTTCCTTTCACGAAGTACTATATAGTTCAGTTATTCATTTCCAACTACTGTAATACTTGTAGCTATTATTGCAGTGTTGGTAAGCAAGTCATTATAATGGCGAATTTTTCATTACAGTTCAAAATGGAGCGGAATATAAGAGGTGAAGTCTACTGTAACTGTGGTTCATTACCGAACTTTGATGCTACACGTGATGATAACGACAGTTTTTCGAATTTTTCTTTGCATACAACGAAAATTTTGCGCTTCAAATTGAATTCTTCTTGTAGTATTACTGTGACTCAATAAGCGGCAACATAACTGTGTATTGAATATAAACATATATATATATAGCGGTCAGTAAATGAATAATATGTACAAATTTCGATGAAATTGAAGTATAAACTGAATAAAAGAGCCGAAAGAATAATT